CTCAATAGTCCCATCAACCCGGTATTTAATGGTAAAGACCCACTTGCATCCAACAGGATCTTCCCTTCAGGCAAATCCACCACTTCCCATGTATCATTTTTGTGTAGAGCATCCATTTCAGACTTCATGGCATCTCTCCATTCTGGAATCCCAAGAGCTTCTGATACAGACTTAGGAATAGGGTTAGAAGCAACTGAAGAGAGGTAAACAAAGTATGAAGGAGAAAGTAGATCATAAGAAAGGTGTTTGGAGATGCAGTGTGTAATGCACTTCCACTTTCCTTTCCTAACAGCAATGGGGACATCAAGATCTGGGAATGATGGTTCCAAGGGGGCTAGAGCAGAACCTGTTATCTCATCTGTGATTGGGAGTGTATGAGCCTTATCTGTTGTAAGGGAAACAACTTGCTCATTTCTGGATCTTTGCCTTTGGTACACTTTTGGATTATGGGTAGGACAAGGAGGTAAAGAAATAGGAGCACCAAGACAGGATGAATGAAGTGGCTGATCCTCCTTTGGTTCATTTGGTGAGGATACAGGCTTGTCAAGAGACTCAACTGGGACAGGAAGAGGAAGAGCAAATACTTGTGACAAACTCTCCCCCCGTTGACAATGTCCTTCTTGAGGGGAACCATAAAAAGGTGAAAGCTCATCAAAGGTAACTGTTATGGATGCATTCGTGGGAAAGATATACCGCCGCCGGCAGCAGCAATGAGGAGGGGCTCACGCGACAGCTTATCTTGCCAGCTCTCCACCGGCTTACCTTATCCCATCTATTCTTACTTTATCTATTAGAAATAGGAGTTAAGTTTTGTTCTTAGTAGGAGTTTGTTTACCTATTAGAAGTAGGAGTTTGATTTAAAGTTGGATTATCCTAGCCTAGTCGAATTCAATAAGGAGTCACCTCTTGTAATCTCCTATTTAAGGAGCTGTGAATTGGGAATAAAGGCATTCAATTTTTCAGTCAAAGGAAGAGTGAGGAGAGTTCGGGTGATCTCTTGGACAAATCACCCATTAGGTTGCCACAATAGGGTCTGTAGACAAAGGGAGGGGCAAGGGGAAGCTAGATGTTCTCCCCGTGGACCGACCCGTGACGAGATCCTAAGCCCGGGCCCATAACATCTTGGTATCAGAGCCTACCGTCATGGGAGATCTGGAACCACTATCATTCAGGGTCCACGAACTGGAACATAGGCTCGCAGAAACCAACATGGAGGTTCGTGAGGTCAAAGACGATGTCCGGGAGCTGCGATGCTTGCTAGAAACGTTTCTCTCTAACAAAGAAAGGAACTTCGAGGAAACCACCACCACCAACAGTCGCCGGCCGGACTGGGCAGAGACGTCCAGCGAACATCAGATCGCTGCCCCGATAGCCACAGTTATTCCTAAGTATAGTCGGCAAGAATTTCCGTCTTACAACGACACCGAAGACCCATTCGGATGGTTATATCGCTGCGAACAGTTCTTCCGTAACCAGCGCACTGATGACAAAGACAAGGTCAGTTTGGCCGCCTTCCACCTAACGGAAGAGGCACAATTCTGGTTCTACTGTCTGGAGCAGGAAGAACCCGGGCTCTGTTGGGAGCAATTTAAATCCTATTGCCTCCTTAGGTTTGGACCCCCGTTGACAAGTAACCCGCTGGGCAAGTTAATTAACCTCAAGCAAACTGGAACCGTGGCAGAATACCAACGCCAGTTCCAAACCCTTCTCGCCAGGGCAGCCTCGGTACGCCCAGATCAGCAAGTAGATATGTTTACCGCGGGGTTAGCAGAACCCCTAAGGGTGGACGTGGAAATGCAACACCCTCTCAACCTGGTCACAACAATGAACCTCGCACGCGCCTTCGAACGGAAACTGCAGCTCACCCATGGAACCCTTAGTATAGGTCGGCCAACAACGACCTGGGCACCTTCGANGGGTGATCTCTTGGACAAATCACCCATTAGATTGCCACAATAGGGTCTGTACGCAAAGGGAGGGGCAAGGGGAAGCTAGAGGTTCTCCCCGTGGACCGACCCGTGACGAGATCCTACGCCTGGGCCCATAACATCTTAGTATCAGAGCCTACCGTCATGGGAGATCTGGAGCCGCTATCATCCAGGGTCCACAAACTGGAGCATAGGCTCGCAGAAACCAGCATGGAGGTTCGTGAGGTCAAAGACGATGTCCGGGAGCTGCGACGCTTGCTGGAAACGTTTCTC